TCAATCACTTACTTTCACTCAAATATATAATTATTTCACTTACTTTCATAGTTTGAGACATCCATAGCTTCTTGATTTCCTAGATATTACAAAAAGCTCAGCTACTCTGAAGCAAATCAAACCCAAGATATAAAGCAATATCACGTAGTATTAAAAGGAAAAGTCAAAAGTTAATAAATCAAGTGAGTGTTTAATTCGATATAATTAGCATCATTAGATCTTATTTTTTGAATGTAAATGATGTAGCTAGTTTTACATGTTTGACTTTTATTAATGTTTATTGCAGATTGGATAATCTTTGAAATAAAACAGAAGAAAAACTAGGAATGTTGGTCGAGCATACCGTTTAATTTGCTGGAGTAGTGCTGGATTGATAAACTATTGTTTATAATTTGCCATCCACGTGACCCACATGCAATAAATGAGTTATAATTTATAAAGAGAAGTTTTTCTTTCGACGCTACGTTTGGTAGGCAGTAATTAATGAAAGCAACAACAACAGATTTTACTGAGATTTTAATATCTCGCAAATGAAACATTTATAGTTCCTATAATCCTATCGTAGACAAGAGTGACAACTCAACGAGTATGTGTTCAATCCTCTTTGAAGGTAGATTAGATAAAACTAGTTAGATAAGCTAGATTGATCATGAGATTTAATTATGTGCACCAATTTTAACTATGCAACTTTAAGAGTTCTTTTCTTGAAACTAAGAATCTGAAGTTAAAGTTTATTTCTCCACAAAGAATAAATGCAAATCTTATGTCTTATAATAGTTGGCTAATGCACAAGTTATTTCATGAAATTTTTGAACAATAAAAACCAATAACATGCATTTGAAGTCAAAATTAGTAATTAAACTCTTAATTAGTATTATATTGACATCAGTTTCCCAAACTAAAACATTCTATAATTTTCCAATCATCTCTATGTTGAATTCGTGACCCTATTCTAACAAATCCTAGTACCTCCCTTTTGTCCTTTAAACCTCATTAATAATATTTTCACCTATGGTATGCTAAGCTAGATTATTCACCTAGTCTTATTAATTCAATGATTGAAGAAAATAATTATTACCATAGGTTATGAAATATATGCATGATTGTGAAATATAAGTATGAAATATATCATATTATATATAGTACTCTTACTTATCTACTGTACTTACTAAGTTACTATAAGGCTAATTGGTCTAATTCCTATTTTGCAGTCAATGAAGTGTAGTGTGTAACATGTGAAGGCAGAGTAGGTAACAAGCTCTGTACTATATGAAGTAATTTTATCAGAAAAATGGTCAATTTAACTTTAAAAATACAACTTTTACATTTACTTTTTAATTTTTAAACATAGCTTTTGTTAAGCAAGTCGTGCAAAAAAGGGTTATGACAATGACAATGACAAAGACAAAGATATTAGGTTTAGTCCAATTCAAGTTACTTAATTGGGCTAATTCGATTAGTTGTTATTTTGAATTAATTGCAATTGTTGGGTTGAAATATTTAAGTGTATTGTCAAATTGGTTATCTATAATTCAATACTAATTATAAATCTGTTAAAAAATCTCATTATTGTTCATATAAAAGTTGAGTTGTCCCTAAAGAATTAACAACCTTTTTGTAAGTTTGATGAATTTTATTTGTTTTATAAATATCAATTAGTTTGAAATTTAGTTCTCATAAAACTGATTCAAAAATTTGAAGGCAAGCCTAATATTGAACACTAATTTATTACTATAGGTCACCTTAAACTATATATCAACTTGCATAAGGGACGATATTATGAAAGTTTTATCCTTGACAAAAATCCCTCCACCATACGTTCTAAAGCTTTGAAACCTAATCTTGTTACTCATCAAAGAAATTAATCGAATTTGCATTACCAATTATTATAAGCTAACTAAAATGATTGCTTACCCTACAATAGAGATATTTACGAGTTGATAATCAAGCGAGCTAAGCCAAGACCAAGCTTGAGTTGATTAAGCTAGGCTCATTAGACTTCCATTCAATCTTGAGCCAAGTTACGAGCTTCACCAAGTTGAAAATTTCAAGTATCATAACTCATAGTAAAATGAGCATGATTTTGAAACTAACAACTTATCCTATTTTACAACTATGTTTATTTCATTTTTTAAGCTTCTCACCAATGTTTATTTTTAACTTTACTCTTATTTTGAGTATATTACCAGATTTTTGAGCCAATATTTATTATATGGACTCATAAAGATTTCGAGCTGAGCTTGAATATTTCACGAATTAGCTAGGCTCATTAACACCCTCAGAAATTAGAGAAAGCATTTGTAACTTTGTCAAGATGAACGGAAAAAGACATGTTGGGTAATGGATTAACGGGTAAAAAAAGGAGCCAAAAGGGGTCCTATATCATGTGCAAACCTTTGACAAATCCAATATTAAGTAAAGTGTGTGTGTGGGGGGGGGGGGGGGCATAGGACAAACTACACAATCAAAGAAAAACCAAAATAATAAAGGCTGTAAAGTGTAACAAAAGTAGTCCAAATCTGACATATCATCTTTTTTGTAGCTAATCTAGTAGAATTTTTCTTATTTTTGTTTTTCTTTTTTTAACTTTTTTTCTTCTTTAAAAAAAAAAAAAAAAGCAAAAGCATGGAGCAAGTATTTACATGCATTACAAAAATCATTATCCCACTAGTGATCAATCATACTATCCATATTCCAATCTATGAATCTCCTCAATTTTCTTCCAATCAAAACAGTCCCATCCTTGGATTCATCATTCATCCCAAACTTCAATTATATATATTCTTGTTTATAGATATATTCTCTATATATTGACATATTGTCACTAGTATTATACTATTATTCCATGGTCTATATGAATGTAGTCGTGTTACAACAAAAAATAAAGGGGTCACATAATATTGTGTTGTCTTTTCATCAGCTTTACATAAAATGCCTGAAAATTACTGTATGTCTGAAAGTTTAGCACTGATGGTCTATTTAATAGTCGGTAATAAATTATGATAATGGTAATGACTTTTAAATGTAATTTAGTTTTGAAAACAACCTACAATCTCCATGGAAACACAATCTCATCCCTCAAACTACTTGTGTTTTCTTCATGTCTTTGCATTACCATCCATTACCACTTGAGAGGTGGTACTAGGTGGGAATGGAAATTTATGAAGAAAAAAATAGACAATTTGGGGGTTTCTTTAAAAAATAAAAAGGACAATTTGAGGTCTTCTTGAGTTATCATGGGTATACTTTGTGAAAGGACAATTAGTAAATAAAATGTAGTTAAAACTTATACTTGTACAATACTTCATATGTAGATAGTATAAAAAGTCAAAATGTTACATTTATACAGAAATGGCAAAAAGTGTGAGTATATAAATTAATTGATCTAATATTACCATCTTCTTCAAAACAAAAAAATAATAATTGTTCACTTATAATTTGAGTATTTTAAGGAATTGATGATCATTAAAAAGAGAAAAGAATCATATTTAGCAAAATGTAATGTAGGCATGATAACATCGTATAGAAACAAGTGGAAAAGATGCTAAAAAAACATGAATGATGGATGGGAAGTGAAAAAGAAAGACATGTTATGAAATGAAATGAAATGCAATTTGAAAAGATTGGTCCTTTAATCATGCCATAAAATTCACGGGCTCAATTTCTAACAGAATGTTTACACATTTTCTTTCTATGCTGAAATTATACTGTTCTGTCTTTATGATTGGAGACCAAGAAAAATTTTCCGTAGCTTTTTATAGCACTACTATTGTATATTTGTATATACTTTTTTATGTGTCTCTTTAGTTTTTACCAACATCACTTCTCATTTCACGATTGTTATAAATTTTTTGAAAGCAACGAATGCATGCAATGAGGCAATCAAACAAGATCTAAAATAACTATTTCTTTTTACTAATAAATCATCAAACTTGATTAAAGAAAGATAAGGGAAAATAAATATGGATACACAAGTGAAAGTATTGCAAGTAAAAAAATCAAGTGAAGTAATTTCATTATTGTTATTATTAATTTTGTTATCATTAATATTATCCTGACTAGAAAACAGAACATCCCTTTATTTTGTTGGTTATCAAAGATATGACGACCAAAAAACCGAAAGAAAACGTAGAGAAATTGATGGAAGGTAAGGGAATCTTGATTTTGTTAGCAATAGCATGCACTAAATTTTGCATGCACGGAAGGGTGTCTTCATATACGTACAACCCTAAGACATTTGTGAGCCCACTCACTAAATTATTTTGGTGATTCATGAATGAATACCTAAAAGATACATATTCTTGATTCTTGAAACTATTATTCTAGTTTCACGGGGAAGAATCAAGTCTGAGCTCCATAGGATGGTGGAGTCCCATCTCGGTTCGAGTCTCATTATTACGTTTAATATATAGTTGGATATTGTGGTGGATGTTACATATATGTTTAGGTAAAAACTTTACGTGCTTCGTACATATAATGAATTTAAATGACTTGGGTCTCATTGTGGACAAGGTTTTTTTTTTCGATCTTATTTCTTTCCAAGTTAATGTATTATATTTGTGTTAGTGTATAATAGTGATATTTATAATTTAAATCATACATTTTCAGTACGTATTTCATACACTTTTCTTTTAAAAATTCACGCAATAATCTCCAACTTTGAAATTACCATTAGATAGCATTATATACTCCGTAATACCACAAATATTGAGAGAAATTTGGGAAAATGGGGGGTTTGGAACATTTTCTATTACACAAAGTTTAACCCAACAATCTATGACGATCCAAATTCCACAAGACCGTCTTCCAGTAAAGACAAACTGGGCCTCGGTTGCGTACTAGGCAGGTTGTCTTTTGCTTTAATTACTTTTATAAATTTTTAACTAATCTTTTTCTTTCCTTCTTCTTTTAAAATTCTATTCAATGTTCACTTAATAAATGTATTTAACAATCCTACTATGAGTATGTACTATGAGCATATGACTCTGAGAGTGAGGGATAGCTCAGGTGGTTAGGACTCCCCTCTCGATTCTAGGTGATTCTGAAATCGATTCTCATATAAAAAGGATATCAATCACTTAATTTTCTTAAAACAATCTCTGATTTTTATCGAGATATTAAACTTTAATTTTTTTTTTATTTTTTATTTTTTATTGTTATTTTTGGTGTTTAGAGAGCCACAATAGTAGAATAAGAATAAATCCTAGATCCCTTGGAATCGAGAGGGAAGCTCTAACCACCTGAGTTATCCCTCACTCTCAAGTGTCTCAACTCAAACCTTTAAAACCTATTGATTCTTGAAGTGGGTCAAAGCAGCAATACTTCCGAAATTCATTTTTGGAGGAGATCAGGATGACTAGTAGAAAGGAACAGATGAAAGTAGAAATTTAACCCATAAAAACAAAGAAAATTAAAAAATGAAAGGCAATTTGATAATTGTTTAAATAAGTATTAGAGTATAAATATTATTATAATTTGTAATTTTGTACTAGTGCTATCCAACCTTGTTCATGAACCTCTTAGCCTTAATATATGCATACTTCAAGTAATCCTTAAACCTAATCAAATCCAATTCAACATTTTGCTCCTTCAAATATACCTTACCTAAATCGGCCCACCAATTTTTGTTAGAGGACATTGGATTTGTAAGAATTGGGTCAGATTTGTTGTATCTATTTACCAAGCTACTCTCCTCAACCCTTATTTTGTACTCCAAATATGTCAAGCCCATTTCCTTAGCGGGTTTTCCGAAACACATTTCTGCAACCCCATCGATCACTATGGGTACAACTTGAATGAAAATCGAACCCGGCCGTAGAAACAAAAAATGGGTCAACGCCGCCCCATGGACCCCCACCATTACATGACTCTCATTCATAAGCCCATGAGCCTCAAACAATGTATTCTCGGGCTTGGGCTCAAATACGAACACGTTGAAGCCCATGTTCTCCGCTATCGTCTTGATTTCAACTTGGTTTAAGATCACTCGGCCCACCCCACTGGATCGACTAAGCAAGATCAATTTGGGCCGAGTCATCGGAATTGGAAAATCAGTTTGTTGGGCTTTTCCATAGGCCTTATTTAGGAAATAATGAAAATCTAGAATCGTTGTTGGTTTGGGCATTAATCTTGGTTTGATAGTCATGAACCCATGTGAGACTAGGCCCAATGAAACAGATTTAAAACAATGTGTAATAGTTTCATTGTCAAGATTAATAATTGGGTAGTTGCTAAATGCACCAAGGAGATCACTATACTTACTAACCCACCAATCACGCGACTTCGTGATCACAAGGACAACATCTTGATTGGACAAAGACATCGATCCGACGGTGATGAAGAGGGGAAGAAACCCATCATTAAAATCATGGAAAAAGTTTCCTGTGTATCCTCCTGCACTGAATACTACTGCTGAAGTGTTGTGTATAACGTTGCAGTTTGGGCCTTTTGGGCCAGAAATTAAGGTTACCTCCTTTATTCTAGACATTGTCAAGTTCTCCCATTTTCTTGGGTAAGGCCTTATTTTCTGCATAAAATTTCTTGGGCTGGTTGGCCCAATAGCATAGAAAGAAGAGGAAATTGGGTCCAAAACATTTGGGCCGTTGATTGAACAAAGATCATAATGATAGTGAGACCGGTCACAGCTGATTTGTGATTCAACTTGAAGGAAGGAATATTGTGGGTCCCTTTCAGATGACTTCTCTCTTTTTAGATTTTGATCTACACAAAAAAGCGGCAAAAGCTAATGAACGTTCGGGGACGTTGGATAAGACAACAAAAAATAGATATATTAAATTAAAATGAACATTAATTATATCGATTGACGCGTGATTTTGACATTTATTCCCAAATTAATATCACTTTAGGAAGTATTTTAAATGCTTATTTCTAACATGGTATTTATTGTAAAGCAATACTCTTCAAAAACTGTGTGTCTTGTGTTTTAGTTGATTACTACCTGTTACATATTAGTTGCAACTTTAGAATAATACTAAATTATTTCCGACCCATGCTCAGTTTTTTAAATTATTGATAATTGAAATATAAAAGTTTTTAGAGAAATATAACACAATAGTCAATTATAATAATAATCATCTATAAAAAAATCTCACAAATAATACCCAAAAGTTTAAACTAATATGTAAATGTAGGTAATATTATTTTCTATAAATTGAGTTTTTTTTTTTTTTTTTTGTTTTTTTTTTTTTTTTTGTTTCAATGAGGTGCCTCAGAATTTTACTCTCAAAGTCACCCAAATAGGCCAAAATGAATAGTCTAATTTTACTGAATAGAAAATGACTTTACTCAAAATATTGTACGACTAAAATTGACCTATTATTTATACTCCTAAAGTTGTAAAACATTCACTAGCAACAAATACTTTTTCCGTTTCTATTTAGTTGACACGTTTAATTTAAGCACACATATTGAAGAGAGGAGAGAGAGTGAGAGAGCATGATAAAGCAAGTGGGGTAGCTAGTAAATACAAAATATAGAACTTACCCAAAAAGAAAACGTATCAACTAAAAAAAAACTTTCTAAAAAGGAATACGTGTCAATTAAAAAAAACGGAGGTAAGTATGATTTAAACCGGACCTATCTAATGCTAAATTGAGTAAATTATAGTAAAATTACAACATGAATCAAATTCAAACCAAGCAACTGTTTTGTTTTGTTACGTGCTTAAGTTACCTCAACTCTAAAATCATATGTAACAACTTCAGTTTTAAGTTGACCCAAAAGTTTAGAAAACGTGTAAGAAGTGTTACAAACAACCTTTTTAAAAAAAAACGAAACTCATTTATTACATGACACAAAAAAAAAAGGAAAGAAATCAAAGAAGGGAATCCATAGCAAAGGAAAGAAATCAAGTACATACCTTGATTTCTTGCAAATGAAGGCGATTTCGATATGGAAGAGAAGTGATTGAATCGGGAAGAAGAGTCGCCATAGAAAAAGTAAAGCACGGAGAATAGGCTAAATGATAGAGCCATCATGAAAGGAATCACCATTGCATTGCATGAACCAGATGAAAATCGCTTCTTCATCATAAAAACTGATGATGGATCAATAAGCTTAAACAGCATGCGTACGTAATTAAGCTAGCGTATTCAATAAGTAAAATTTACTAAACCGCTAATCGCTGATGAATTTCGCTATGATTTGTGGATTTGGAGAATGAACAACGGAGGTTTTGAAATTTGGGAGGGGTTTGAAAATTGCTGAGCGTCTCAGGGTTCCTATTTTCTACGATTATTGGACGGTAGTTGGTTACAAGGAGTATTACGGAGTACTAACAATAAACTCGTAACGTTTCCTTTTACTTTTTTTCTTTTTTTTAAAAAAAAAGTGTTTTATAAAATGGGGTAGGGATTAGTCCTAATTTCTATTAGCTCTATGTACTATGTGTAGACTTATAAATTGGGTCATTTGGACGGGTTTAGGTAAGATTATCTTGGATTTTGTCATTTTAGGTTTGGTATATGTACGTTTAAATTAATTGTTCAAGTCAATTGGATTTTGATTCATTTCTATGAATCACCGCGTGCATTGAATTGGGTCGAGTTAGATTAGATTCTTGTTTGAGACTTTAGATCAATCGAATCATTATGTAATTTATATAGAAAGTAGTATAGTAGCATTTGTTGTTACGGCTAACGAATTAAATCCTCCATTATCTGAATATTTTGTCTAAGTAATTGAAAACTAGCTCAATCAAAGCTGGGATTGAACGAGCTTGACTTAAGCTTATGTCAACTTTAGATACCAATGATTCAAGTTTGAACTATCCTTGGCTCGACTCATAAATAATGAGAAGAAAAGATTAACTCTTACAAAAGAGACTATCAAATTACAAAATTTTTGGTTATCAATTAGTATAAATTATCATACTTATGAATACTATTCAGCCTAATAATTTAAGTCCTAAAATATATTTCAAAAATAATATTGGTTGTTTAATTCAGTCGAATTGAGTCAACTAATCATAGTCTTTTTGCTTTGGGATTAGTCTAGGTTGGATTGAAATTGGTTTTGAGTCTATCAAGTATTAAATAAATTTTTAAAAACACTAATTTAATTAAGAGCCTGTTTGTTTCACCCAAATTTAACTTATTTTATATCATATCAGAAAAATAAGTTTTAAAAAAATAAGTTAAAAAAAAAACGACAATATAATATGGAGTTTAAGTTTAAATAAGTTCAAAGCTTTAAACATAATATGAATTTAGATAATATACTTGTATATAGTTTCATACAAATTTAGATGAACCCAATAGTGCTTAATCCCTTTTATTTATGAAGAAAAATTACCACAATTTCCTTTCATCTCATTCCTTCAACTAATTCTCCTTAGTAAATGTAGTTCAAATCTTGATTTTTATGAAGATATGAAATTTGGTTCATCCTATTTATATAACTAGAATCAATTTATTTAGTCGTCAATATCAAAACTTACATAATTTTTTGAACTAATCTATCACACTATCGATATGATGATATCATTACAACTCTCTCTTTTTTAATAACACTCATTAGATTGAACCTTACATTATTTTTTTTTATTTTTTGACAAGATGAACCTTACATTTTACTTAAAGAAAAAAACTATATGATGATATCATTACAACTCTCTCTTTTTAATAACACTCATCAGATTGAACCTTACATTATTTTTTATTTTATTTTATTTTTTTTGACAAGATGAACCTTACATTTTTACTTAAAAGAAAAAAACTACAAAACAGTTGTTATTATTTGTCTTACTGCTACAAAAGTATATAGGAGCTCTTTTCAGGTCCTCTGAAAGTCTGGTTGATTCGTGACAGACCTAACCCAAGCCCACTTATGATCCTTGATATTGACCACATTCCTTGTCACAGCCACCTCCTTCACCGGAATGTAAGCATAACATCCGTTCACTCGACCGGCAACGAATCCTGTATACCCTGCCATGGCTCCATGAATCGCTGAGTGTGCTAGTAGTGTGCAATACATGTTATCAGTTGCATTTGCTGGGACCGCGCGTACCATATACGTCGGATCTATATACTTAATAGTAACCAATTCCCCCGGATGATCTCTTTTCCACCAATTATTAAGTTCCGACTTTAGCCACACCCCAACATCTTTGAACACAGGGTTCCCAGACTCGTCCTGCTGCTGCTCCTCCTCGGTTCTAGGTATCAACTCCTGTCCTGCACCCTCGGCCACGACAACAACCGCATGTTTGTTTTCTTTCAACCGCCTTTCTAGGAACTCGAATAGTCCACCCTCTCCTTCTAAGAAGAACTCGTTTTCAGGGATTAAGCAGCAGTCCACATCGCGGCTGCTCAAGGTTGCGTGCAGCGCGATGTGGCCCGTGCTTCGTCCCATCAGCTTGACTAACCCAATGCCATTAACCGCACTCTCGGCCTCTACATGAGCCGCGTTGATTGCTTGCTGAGCGGTTTCCACTGCCGTTTGGAACCCGAATGATTGGTCAATGATTCCGACATCGTTGTCCACTGTTTTTGGTATTCCGGCCACCACAACACTGAGTTTCCGGTGGCAAATCTCCTCGTATATCTTGACTGCGCCACGCATGGTGCCATCTCCTCCAATGATGTACACGTGGTTAAACCCGTGATGTTGAATAGAATCAACAATTCTGTAAATCAAATAATAAAGTAGCATAGACATAATAAGTAGTTCGTATGGTACAAGCCTTAATTTTAGTTCATAGATGAGTTTTTAGGCTTTTAAAAGGATGAGCAGGCATCATTATGGTTATAATGTAATCGGCTGTACCTTGAACATGTATGAGATAAAAAGGAAATATGGAGGTAATGTACTAAATAATATAATCGGCTGTACCTTGAACATGTATGAGGTAAAAAGAAAATATGGAGATAATGTAATAAATAATGTAATCGGCTGTACCTTGAACATGTATGAGATAAAAAGGAAATACGGAGATAATGTACTAAATAATGTAATCGGTTGCACCACACACACGGGATGAAAGTTAAAAAAATAAGTCAAGAGTAGAAAACTAATGTGAAGTAGAATATACTGGTACAACTAATTATAAAATAAACCTTGGTTTTATTTGGGTAAGCGGCATGTTCATCAGTTGATGATACAACCAGTTATACCATGGAAAAAGCAGAGTAAGGAAAAACACTACGGTCAAAAGGAGTAATAATGATATAAAATTATAGTCGTTTCTCAATATTACCTACAAAGATCGAAACCGCCCCTAGAAGTTTCTAGGGCGGTGCCACCCTGCTTATGCCAATTATGAACCATCTTTGAAGTAAGAAGCACAGGGTGACATGAATAAAACCCCCTGTACCCAGAACATATGCCGAAGATCTGATGGACGCCATAAAAGTCCGACAAGCCAACAACAAGCTCCCGGATGACAGTGTTAAGACCGGGACAGAGACCTCCACATGTAACAATGGCGGCCTTGACATTATCAGGGTCAAAGTAGACCACCTTGGAAGGCCCTGCGCGGTGGTACGCTTGGCCGTAGCCGTGTTGATTGGTGTCGGAGAGGTCGTACAAGATCTGTTTGAGGAGGATGTCTGAGGATGGAGAGATGTAAAAGCCTTGAGTAGGGTGGTAGTTTGGGTTGTTTTCAAGTGGGTTAGTCACTGTTTTTAGTTGGGAAATTGGTATGTAATCTCTTAGATGAGGTACTTTCTTCAGTTTTATTCCGGATAATGATAGTTTTTCCAATGGAATAATTTCCTCATTCTCTCCGCCTTCATTTTCTACGTCTTTCTTCTTATCCTCTGCCATTTTTCTTTTCTCAAAATTCCTAGTAAACTTTTTATGTTTCCTATATAGCTGTTAGATGTATTAATTTTGGTGGAAATGGATTTTAGCGGTGCGGCTAATAGAGCACTCAAAATATGTACGTAACTTAAGTTTTTATTAAGATTATTTATTAAGGAGTACCTCAACTCCTCAAGTCTAATACACTATCGGTCTTCACTTTTTTTTTTTTTTTTTTAAATGTTAAGAACTTTAGATGGTTATTATTTTATGAAAAAAAGTCTAAAAAAAAAAAAAACAACTAAACTTATCACTCCCTCCGTGTTCGTTTCTCATATTTTAACTGCAAACGAAGGAAGTATAAAAATTATAAAGATTACAATATTTTGTATTCTAATAGAAATATATAGAAATTAAGTTTACGTAAAAGTTAAACAAAATGCAAAGTTTGTATTAGCTCTTGGAGTCAACTTTGCATATATATATATAGAACATTACTAATTTCAAATAATAAATTATGAGTAGCTTAGGTACGGTCGGGGTGTTTTGTTAGGAGAAATTTGGAGTAAAATAAAGCTGAAGTTTGAAGCCTCTTAATTATGATTGAGAGAGATCGAATTTAGATTTTGTTTGGAAAAGAGTATTTTGGAGAGATTTTAGTTTATTGGGGCCTATTAGAATTAAATATTATCTTTTTTTAAGGTGAAGAGAACACGATATTAGATTTGAAATTAAATTTTTTATTTAAGATGTAGAGAACACACCCTAGATCATAACTTTAGCTATCAAATTATGTTAGGATGATTAATTTTAACTTTTAAGTATGGATGTACCTAAGTTATTGTAAATTATAGAACTAGTTTTTTTTATTTTTTTTTTTTTATTTTTTTTTATTTTTATTTTTTTAATTAGTAAGAAGAAAGGGGCTCATTTAAGGGGGAAAAAAAGGGAAATCCCTTAAATGAGTCCCATGAGATTTGATCCCTCGCAACCGAGGCACCTGCTCAAGGCCAACGAATAGAGAGGGCCCAATTTCTCTTAGCTTTTTAGTCTATAGAATAAGGTTATATACATTTTGGGTGCAACATTATTTATGTTTTGCCATGTGGCCTGGTGGTTGAGTAACCTATATTCTCTTTGGCAGATCATGGGTTAAAGACTCATTATAAAAAATTTAAAAATATATATATACTTGAGCTTTTCTTTTATTTATTCTTCATTTTCTTTTTGAAGAACACAATTTTTTTCTTTTTTATCTTATTAAAATAACTATTCTTACTTGTACTACCAAAGACCGTACCCATTGAAATTGGAAATACAATAT